CTGCAAATACAATATAAAGTATTAATCAGAGTACTAAGGAATAGTACTAAAGATACTGCAAATATGCTGGTGAAGATTCTCAGTCATCCAGGTTATAGTCATTCTAAAAAAGTTAAAAAAACAATCCACTGGATTTCGTTTCCAAGTTTGAAGACGTTTCGCTCCCATCCAGGAAATAGTGTTTAGTTTGAGGTTTTATCAAGTAGCCCAACAAAGCCTTGTTTTTGTTTAGAAACATACAAATAGAAACGGACGAACGGGTCCATCCCTTTGGAATGGAGGTCATTCAGCTTCTTTGTTAGCCTGCAATACCTGTCTATGTCTCTGAAGACCTCACCTGTTCAGCCAGGCCAACAATTCCCTTTATCGACCCCCCTTTCAGAGACATAGATAGGTATGGGGCATTGCCTCCAACTCAGCGCTATTTCTATTTTATTTTGAATTAAAAGAGCTTCCTGGAGGATTAATATCAAAACTATACATTTGTATTAATAACCCAGACAACCATTCTACTACCTAAAAAACTAAATTTATGCTTTTCACAGACCTTCGGAACAGGTCACTGAATTTTCCTTCAGTGGTTACTCTTCATGGTCGTGAAATACAGATAGTTTCAACTTATAAGTATCTTGGTATTGTCATTGATGACAACCTATCATTTAAGCCTCATGTTCACTGTCTAGTGAGAAAGTTGAGACTAAAATTGGGTTTTTACTTTCGAAATAAGCTGTGCTTTTCTTTTAATGTAAAAAAACGCTTGGTGGCATCCACTTTTTTAACTGTGCTATGGTGATATATTATATATGCATTCATCTGCTCAATGCCTGCAGATGATTGACGCAGCCTATCACGCATCATTGTGATTTATTACTAATTGTAAAGCTCGCACCCATCACTGTGAGCTGTATTCTCGTGTAGGGTGGTCTGCCTTGGCTACACGGAGGCTTTGTCATTGGTATATATTTATATATAAGGTTAATCTTGGTGCGCTTCCATCTTATTTATGTTCACTGGTTATGAAAAAAAGTACTGGTCATTACTCTCTCCGTTCTCAGGCTGTTGTCTTGTTTTCTGTGCCATGTGTCAGTACTGAGCTGGGTAAAAAGGCCTTTGCTTACTCTGCTCCCTTTACATGGAATTTGCTGCAAAATAAGATGAAACTTAGTAAATTGGTTCCTTTGAATACTTTTAAGTTGAGAATTAGATGTTTTGAGTTGGACTCCCTCACTTGTCAATGTTTTAATTGAAATTTTATTGTAAGTGCATATTTGGCTTTTATGTGTGTGTGTTGTATGTATGTAATGATGTGATGTAATTTTGATGCCTATCTTTGCCAGGTCTCCCTTGCAAAAGACATTTTTCATCTCAAAGGGTATTACCTGGTTAAATAAAGGATAAATAAAAAATAAATAAAAATAGATTAAAAATAAGTTGGAAAATGAAGGTACTTTTACTTTAACTGAAGATGAATGGGAAAGTGTGTGTTTATCTCAATGGAAGACAACAAAATCACATATCTGGAAAGAATTTAGCTGGAAAACTATCGCATGTTTCTTTATAACACCATGTCAAAGCGCTCATTATTCACTAGGGAACACTGGATGCTGGAGAGGATGTGGGTGCCTAAAGGCGCGTCATTATCTTTTGTTTTGGGAATGCCCAGTTATCCAGAAATGTTGGAAAGAGATGAACAACGTAATGCAAACTGTTTA